ACGGCATCCCACTGAACAACCTGCGGAAGCCTCTCGACGACAAACGGGTTCGTCAGGCGTTTGCACTGGTTCTGGACCAGCAGGCCCTGCTCGATGTTACTGCGGATGTGAAGGCAACACTGTTCGGCGGCGGATGGTACACCGATGGAACTCCTTACGGTCTGCCACTGGAGGAACTGAAGCAACGGAAGTATTTCCGCCACCCGACCGAAGAGGACATCGCTGAAGCGCGCGCGCTGCTAGCTGAGGCTGGATACCCCAACGGTCAAGGTATTCCCAAGCTGGACCTTGCTACTCGCGAGACCATCAACCAGCGTCAGAGAGCGCCTGCCATCCAGGCGATGCTGAAGGAAGGTTTGAACATTGACACCGAAATTCGAATAATTGACGTGTCCGCGCATGGCGAAGAAAAAAAAAGAAAACACACAAACCCCACCAACAGCGCAGGGACGCCCCAGCAAGAGAACATTGTCCTCGCCGGGCAGCAGCTGGCAACGAGTGAAACCACAGGGATCAAACCATCCAGCCCCAAGAAGTCAGTGGGCGGATCAGTGATCCCCTCAGCCCCATCACAAGTAAAGAGAGAGCACCCGCAAGAGGCTTTGTAGTCACAGAGATAGGGGCCTCGCTGTGAAGGACCACGCCGCTAGGCAGACCTCTGACGCACGGCCAGGACGTCGCGACTGGGCAGAAAGACCGCTACGAAGCACACAAGCCGGGTGTAGGACCGTGCCTTCACAGCACAGGGGCTCGCCCCAGCTAACGAATCCCGCGAGGTGGCGTAACGCGAAGGGTAGATGATGAACAGCGCTGAGAGAAACATAATCCCCTGCCCAAGGCCCAAATAGCGAAGGAGCCAGGATGGGAGGGAGAGGCAACTGCAAAAGTTGAATCCCTACGTAAAGAGGTGGGGCAAAGACCGTACGGAGAACGGGATGAGGATGAGAGAACCCTCCCACCGCCCAGGAAAACGAAAGCCAAGGCGGAGATCCGTGCAGTGCACCGAAAAAAGAAGCGCCGACCAGGGGGGAATATGTGGCTGAATCGACCACGCGATACCCATCAGGGATAATTGAGGAAATGCCTAAGGCGAGACAGGGGACAGGGGAAAACGCTTCGCAGGAGATAAGGACCGACACGAACCCAGGACCGAGCGAAGGGAAGGGAGATAAAGCAAGCCACTCAACCGGTACCAAAAACCCCCAAAAAGGATAAACATAGCTCCGCAGGGAAAGTACAAGTAAAATATACTAAGCCAACAATAGGACCTATCACACATCCAGCTCGGAAACAAACGCAAAGGAGGTGTCGGGAGGGGTTACGCCGTCCCGCGGAAGAACAGGATATGTCAACGAACTGAGATCGCCCCATCCCCGCCTCCAAATTAAAGGCAGGCATCCGACATTGCGGTCGAAGGCGGTTCTTGGGCGTTTATACCTGACCCGTCGTTCTATATCAAAGACCTATTCGGACGATGCGGAGATACCCTCTGCGACGGCAACACCGCTTTCTATGAGAATCCGGAAATCGACAAGATGATCAGGGCTATGGAGATAGAATTGGACCAAGCGAAGAAAATTGAAATGTCTAAGGATCTCGCCGCCTTCCTTGACCAGGAGATGCCCTGGGTCCCTCTCGACACTACCGAGATTACTTATTGGGGCTACTGGGATCATGTGAAGGGCTTGATGCCGGCGAATAGCGACTTCTACGCGAACTACGAACTGCACAAATGGGACTACGTCTGGCTCGATAGGCAATAATAGGACGCGTTGGCGGCACAAGGCGTCAGAGCCGGAGAGGCAGGAGTTAACGTACTGCCTCTCCGACAACAGTTAGAATCTATCCACCTTACATGAAAACAACCTACCGTTCGTGGTGCGCCTGTCGAACCACCTTTGGCACATCGAACACACGCCATAAATCGGCACTATTCGAAGAACTGAATGACTCTGGTTCAATGGAGGGTATGATTGCGAACTTACATCTTGAAGCGTTTTCTCTATGCAATCCCCACCATATTCGGCATCACAGTCTTGATATTCGGCATAATGAGAATTCTTCCCGGGGACCCTTTGGGGGCATACTACGGGATAGAAACCATCATCGTATGGACTCCGGAGCAGAAAGCGGAGATACTGCGAGACCTTGGCTTGGACAAGCCTATAGCGGTGCAGTATGCCCTGTGGATGAAGGACATCGCTTCCGGAAAATTGGGAGAATCGTTCTTTCGCGGAGACCCCATCATTGGGATTTTGGCTAAGCGAGGGCCCATAAGTGCCCAGATAGGGATTATTTCGGTTGCAATTTCCTGGATCATAGGGCTGCCCGTCGGGATAATCAGTGCCGTGCGTCCGAACTCGTTTTGGGACATGTGTACCAGTTTCTTCACGGTGCTCTTTCTTGCCATACCTGGTTTCTGGCTTGGACTGCTCGTAGTGGTCGCCTGCATCTCTTGGTTTCAATACAAGGCGCCTATCGTATCGGTGCATTTCTGGGAAGACCCGTGGACGAATTTCCAGATTATTGTGGGGCCTGCCATAGTGCTCGGCTTGGGGCAGGCGGCATTCATCGCCCGCATGGCCCGTTCATCATTGTTTGAGGTGTTGCGAGAGGACTATGTGAGGACTTCACGCGCCAAGGGGCTTATTGAGCGGCTCGTGATAGCCCGACACGCAATGCCTAACGCCCTACTCCCCGTGCTTACGCTTAGTGGTGTGCTGCTCGGCTTCGTGATGGGTGGCTCGGTGGCGGTGGAGCAGGCCTTTACTGTTCCGGGACTCGGCAAGGCACTTGTGGTCGCTGCGATCGATCGTGACTTCAATGTCGTCCAGAACATCGTGCTTTTCTATGCAGTCATCTTCGTCATGGTCAACCTTTTCATTGACATGCTGTACGGGTGGCTTGACCCAAGAATCCGCTTGAACTAGCGATTTCCAATGGGTGTGCCTAATCAACAAGGTCATGTGAGGCGTCAATGGAATCAGTAGCTGTCCGGGAAGGATTAAACGCAAACATTTCGAGATCCTCCGTTTCCGTTCGTGCATTCATACGTCGCAGTCCTTTTGCCGCCATATGGGGTGTAGTTGGGCTGGTACTGATACTGGCGGCAGTCGGCGCTCCAATAATAACGCCAAAAGATCCGCTGAAAACCGATTTCACGAAGATGAGCGCGCCGCCCGACAGCGAAAGTTACTTTGGCACCGACCAGATTGGCAGGGACCTGTTGAGCAGGATTCTGTACGGTGCGCGAATATCGTTATTCGTAGCTCTGGCGTCGGTGGTGCTCGGTACGACCATCGGCGGCGTGTGGGGCCTCGTAAGCGGCTATCTGGGCGGCTTGACTGACATGATAAGTCAACGCTTTGTGGAGATTATCATGGCCTTGCCGGGCTTGATTCTTGCCTTTGCGCTCGTCCTTGTCTTGGGTGCCGGCATGTGGACGATCATCGCTGCGATCGCTGTAACCCGCGTACCCTTCGGTGCAAGAAATTATTCGCTCGGTGGCGCTTTCGATTAAGCAGACAGCTTATGTGGAGGCGGCAAGAGGAATCGGCGCTTCCCAAATGAGGATTATGGCACGGCACGTCGCGCCACAGTGCATTGCGCCGTTCCTCATTCTGTTCACCGTTCACTTGGGTACGGTCATCGTCATCGAGGCGTCTCTGAGTTTCCTCGGGCTTGGCGTTAGCCCGCCGACACCAACTTGGGGTGGGATGCTTGGCGAGGCTTCTTCTTTGCTTTATCCATTCTGGTGGCACGTGGTCTTCCCGGGGGTCTTTATCACCATTACGGTGCTCGCTTTCAATCTATTCGGCGACGGCTTGCGAGATGCCCTCGATCCCAGGCTGCGCGGCACTTTATAGTGCCACGAAGACTGGGACAGACGAACCGCGACACAATCAGCCATGGAAGTGCGGTATGACGTGCTCGCCGAGGATGTTGATGGTCTGCATTGCTTGTTCTGGCTCGTCTAGGGCGCAGCGGAAGAGGATGTGGGTTGCGCCGAGGCTTTGCACTCTTTCGAGGGCTTCGATGCAATGCTCGGCGTCTCCGACGATGAGAGATTCCTGCATCTCGCGTTCTCCGAATCCCCGGTAGCCGCGTTCGAATAGGACCTCTGCGTCACGCAAGGCTTCTTCTTGTGTCGGCGCGAGGTGAAGGTCTCGGCGCACGACGAGTTCGTTCACCTGCTCACTGCGGCCGCATGCCTCAAGTTCGGCGCGATAGAATCGCAGTCGTTCCTCGATGTAGTCGGGCGTCCAGCCGGGGCTGATTACCCAGGCGTCGGCGATCTGCGCTGCGCGTTGCACTGCGGGGTCGGCGTTCGCGCCTATCCACATCGGCAGTGGTTGGCTTAGCGGCTTGGGATTTATCGACACGCCGCTGATGTTGTAGTGTCTGCCGCTGTAGGACACATCATCCTGATTCCACAGCAGGCGCATAATCTCGAAAGTCTCGACGAAGCGAGATACTCGCAATCTCTGAGGCGTCTCGAATGCGACGTGCGCCTCCGGCTGGTGTCCGAGGCCGCTTATAACAGTTGTCCTGCCACCGCTGATGACATCCAGCATCGCTAGCTGCTCCGCCAGAAGTATGGGATTGTAGAAAGGCAGTAGGAATAGCGGGATCAGACGCATGTCGCCTGTGAAAGCGGAGAGGTGCGACATGGCTGGCAGCACCTGGAAATAGTGGTTCTCGGTTACATGGTGATCGCCGAGAGAGAGTGATGCGAAGCCCAACTCCGCCATTGCCTTGACCTGCTCAGTCAGACCGTCATATAGGGCTTTAGGGTCGCGGTCTATGGCGTAGCTTGTTGTCAGTGACATTCCGATCTGCATTATGATGCACCCCTTAGCCTATTCTGTTTGTTTCGATGATCGTCAACAAATATAATCGCTGTTATGATAATGTCCAAGTTCCGAGGATTGCTTATGTCTGCATCAATGGCTGATGCAATTGTTGCTATTCCGACCTATAAGTATCGGCTTCCTGCGTTTATGACCGTTCCAAGTACCGATACCGAAGCGTTGCAGCAGGCACTTCGCGACAGGCTGCCGCGCTATGCGGTGATATTGTACAACGACGACTACCACTCCATGGACTATGTGGCGGAGGCGCTGGTAAAGAGCGTACCCGACCTGATTGTCGAAGAGGCTGTAGGCATCATGTTCGAGGCGCACAATTCGGGCAGCGCTGTGGTGATCGTGTGCCTGCTGGAACAGGCAGAGCTGTACCGCGATCGCATACGAGGCTATGGGCTAGGTGTTGATATCAAGCGCGAGTAGTCGGCTTGAATATATCTATCAGAATGAAACCTTGTAGATGTGCGACTCTCGATAACCAGTTATGACCTTCATGTAGCCACTCAGCTCCTCGTCGAGATTGAGGTCGCCGGTATCAACCAAGAGCGGTCTGCCGCCGAGTTCAAGCAACTTTCGCCTTGTAGCCACTACTATGATGTTGTTCACGCCTACTTGCCGAATAAGCTGCGGGCTTAACTGCTGGTTGCCGCGTCCAATGATATAGCCTTGTCCTCCGATTGCGGTGACGACTATCTTCGCGGGCTTGTCCTTCGTAAGTTCGAGCAGTTCGCGCTCTGCCGTGTCCGAGGCGAGCAGATTCTTGTTCTGGATGACATCGATGCCCAGCAATGTGTTGGATATTCCGAGTGTGTCCATGATGGCTGCGGTCGTGGTGCCAGGTCCTATGATGTAGAGTGCATCTTCATCCATATCGGAGATTACTTGCTGCGCGATGTCAAGCGCCGCTTCATTGTCCCCGATTGCCGCCCCTGACTTCGTGGCTTGAACTCCCTGCGAGTCCTGCGGCACCGTGAGATAGCCATGTAGGGCTGCGAAGAGCCTTCCAGCGCGGAACGCTTCTTCGTCTATGTCCATGACCTCCAGATATGCCATTTCCACCGGGTCTCCACGGAGGAATCTGAGAGCAATCTCGCCTGCCTTTCGCGGACTAAGCGCAAAGACTCCTGAGTGCATCTTGACACCGGCTGGGATGCCAAGTGCTGGGATCCTCACCGCAGAATGGTCGCCGGCTCTCATGGCGTCGCAGATGTCGCGGGCCGTGCCGTCGCCGCCTGCGAATAGAAGCAAGTCCACACCTATGCGCTGCATTTCATGTACTGCCCGGCGCGTATCTTCTGCGGTGGTGTGTCGGTCGTTTTGGGGAATGCCTTCGAGGAGGATGGACGATAAGCCGCAGCATCGAACTGCTTCCTCGCCCATCGCACCGGTACAGGCGACTATCACCATGTCCTGATTGGCATTCGCGATGACACTAAGGGCTTCTACTGCGCGACGGGATGCCTGCGGCTCGGCTCCAAGAGACAGCGCCCTCTGATACACATCGCCGCCGTCGGTACCTTTCAGTCCGACTCTGCCACCCATGCCTGCGATTGGATTGACTATCAATCCGAGTTTCTTCATTGTGCCGCTCGTCTGCCTGATCGTTCTGTGTGCATCCATGTTAAACCACTGAACACCGCAGCGGGAATCATTCCTGGCTGGGACTGTTTCAAAGAATGTAGGCGGATATGGATAGATATGGGAGAGTACTTGGGAGTCCTGCGATGCTCAAGGCACACAGCATAGACTGCTGTCGAGAAGTTGACCGCACGGGAGTCAGCCTCCAGTTCTGCTGCGAGTGAGGTTTAGTGGAGGCGCGCTTGGGGTGCGGAGCAGCCATTTCTGCTTCACATAGGAATGTCACATAACTGCCGCGACAATCGAACACATTGCCACCTCTGCGCCACATATATATACCTTTGCCTAAATTATCATGAGGTAAATGTAGTGTGAGTTGACCTACATGCCGGTAGCAAAGATGTGTAGCTGATGCGGCAAGCATTATTGTCATTCCCAATGAAATTCAGTGGTCTTGACATGGATATGCGTACCCGGGCACTCCAGAGTTTCCCACAGGTCGGAGATCAGACCCCGCGCGCGCTTCGGCTTGCGATTGCTACTGGTTCGATCATCAGCAGAGGTGCATGCTCTTGATAGCGGACGACATCTTCTCTCTGCTAGAGTTTGCGGCGTATGGCGCTTACGCCGTGTCTGTGGACCAGACCATTCTGTACTGGAATCCAGCCGCCGAGCGCATCCTAGGCCATCAAGCATCGGATGTGATCGGGCGCCGATGCTACGATGTTGTCGCAGGGCGCGGCGCACGCGGCGTTGCTCCGGAATGTCTGGGAGGTTGCCCATCAATCCGCTACATGCGGGCTGGCTTGTTGCCATCGCCGCTCCGACTTCAGATGCTCTGCTCGTCGGGTGAGCGGAAGTGGGTTAGCGTTACACCAATGGCTGTGACCGGCATATTGGGGGACTCGCACGCAATCGTCCATATGTTTGAGGAGGCACCGGGACCTCCAGACTCGGAGCAGTCCGAGGATTCTCCGCGAGACACCGTAGCCGATGCCAGGAATGTCACACCAACCAACGTAGCCGCAGGCGCACGGTCGGAGGAGGCGCCCTCATTGAGTTTGAGGGAGCAGGAGGTGCTGCACCTGGTAGCACAGGGTTGGGCGACCACGCGCATTGCCGCAGAACTGGGCATCAGCCGACACACGGTGCGCAATCACGTCCGAAATCTGCGCCACAAACTCAATGCGAGCACCAAGCTAACTGCGGTAGTCACGGCTATCCGCTTAGGCATACTTGATATCGAAGACTGAGCTGGGGAACTTACCGAGCCTTAGCACACGGGACAGTCGCGTGACTTCTCATTGTCCAAAGGTGCCTCGGAGTCGTAAGGGGAGAGTGAATAGTTTTGGAAGGTGGAGTGGTGGGCGATAGAGGACTCGAACCTCTGACCTCTTGCGTGTAAAGCAAGCGCTCTAACCGTCTGAGCTAATCGCCCGCGGGGGATTGGGCGGGGCGAATCGCGGATGCGATACGGTATGGAAGGGGTGGCGCGCTTGGCGGGACTCGAACCCACGGCCTCAGCCTCCGCAAGGCTGCGCTCTATCCAACTGAGCTACAAGCGCTTGAAATGGAACTCCTGGCGGCGTACGGAAATTACCTTGGTGCCGAAGGAGGGATTTGAACCCACACATCCGTAAGGATACTACGCCCTGAACGTAGCGCGTCTTCCGTTCCGCCACTTCGGCACTTCTATTGGCAAACGGCGGATTCACATGGACTCGCGGTCCGCCGCTTCGATGGTGGGCGATCCAGGACTCGAACCTGGGACCTCTTGCGTGTGAAGCAAGCGCTCTAACCATCTGAGCTAACCGCCCCAGGTATGCGCTGTGCGCCATCACCAGTTCAGCGAACCTTGTAATTATATCAGATAATCGAGGGTGTGAGAATAGTGGGCGGGCGGAGTTATTGGCGTGAATTCTTAGGCTTCATCGCCCCCATCCTAACCTTCCCCCATCGAGGGGGAAGGGACTTTTCTGCCCTCACTCTATCGCTCTCCCAGGGTGATAGGAGACTCTGGGGTTAGGGGCTGCGGTTGCGGTTGCGTTCGCGCTTGAGGCGGCGCTCTTCTCTTTCGAGTCGCCTGTCATCCTGCGCGACGGGCGAATAGCTCTGCTCCAGCCTCCAGGCTCGGTCGGCTCTTGCCTTGCGCTCCGCTGTCTCCGCCGCTCGCTCCAGTATCTCCTGCTCCCTTGCCCACGCCTCGCGCTGCTCCTCGTGGGAGGCGTGTGGCTCTGGATGACGTCCGGATGGTCTTCATCCAGGTCCTTGCAGACGCAGAGGCAGTCGGGGTGGCAGGGCGCGTAGAACATCATGAAGTCAGGATCGGGCTGCGCAGGGTTGCCAAATCCCCAGTGAAGCAGGACCTTTGCCGCTTCTATCCTGTCACGAGTCCTTGCGTCAGGGTCGTTGCCTTCCAGATTTCCAGCAGGACTCTTACCATGCTTGCTCCGCCCTCTGAGTCAACGCGGATGCGAGCGACGAGTTTCTTGTTCACCTTCTCGTGTTCGGGGCTGAGTGGCTGCTGGGCGGGCTGTGAGCCATCCTGCGCCACTTCGTCTTGCTGCGAGGCAGCATTGCGCTGATGTCCTGAGCTGCCGAGGGCTTCTCTGGCTTCTTCGAAGCCGAGTCTGAGCAGGATGCGCGCCGACTGGAGGCGGTGGGAGGGTTTCCCGTCGGGGTCCTCGCCGTTCATGATGGAGACGAGGTTGCGGATGATGGTTCTGCCGCCTTGCGTCTCTTCGAGAACGATGCGCTGGATGCGCTGAAGTGTATCTATGGGGATGTGCTGCGTATCTGCATCCCGTTGCTTGTGCATGGCTTCAATCATATGTTCTGATTATAGGCACGAATGTATGGATTGTCAAGGGTTGGAAGTAGGTCAGCTTTTCAGTTCGTCAGTCGGTCGGTGTCCTTCGACAAGACCTTCGGCGAGGTCAGGACAGGCTCTAGCCTTCCACCATCAAGGGGCGACAGGGAGGTTTGAGTACTGCTGCATTTGGATCACCCCCATCCTAACTCCCCATCAAGGGGGAAGGGGTTTGTTGGGCAAACGAGGACAGGTTATCTATGTTGCGTGGACATTTCCCACCTGTCCCCTGTCATTCCGAGCGAATCGAGGAATTTGAAGTCTGTGAATGGCGTATGTGCAACGATTTGAGATTCTTCGCTCCGCTCAGAATGACAGTGGGATGGAGGCGCTCCGTTCAGAATGACAGGGGGTGAAGGCACTCCGTTCAGAATGACAGAATAAACCTGCTTTTCAGGTCTAAAAGCTCTTTGTGTATCAAATGTCAACAGAACCTAGCTAAAGGGGGCGTCGCGGGCTTCGAGGAAGGCGCGCATGCCTGTTCCTGCTTGATCGCTTCGAGGGCCTCTTTTTCGGGGACGTCGGGCGCCATAGCCTCGATCATGCGGAGCATAGGTGATGCTCGAATGCTTCGGTGAAGCCCATCTTCTCGTAAGTGCCTTTGATGCTGCGCTTCATTATCTGCACGGCGTAGGGCGGTACGTTGGCGATGCGAGTTGCCGCCTTGCGCGCATTGTCCATCAGCTCGTCGGCAGGGACGACCCAATTGACCATGTTCCACTTCTCTGCGGTCTGGGCGTCGATGGTGTCGCCAGTGTAGTAGAGCCAGTGCAGATGGCGCAGCGGGATCATGAAGGGGAGCATTATCGCGGGTGAGTGCGCCACGAAGCGGATTTCAGGCTCGCCGAATGTGGCGTTGTCGGCTGCGATAACGATGTCGGCGGTCATTGCGAGGACATTGCCGGCGGCGAGCGCAAAGCCGTTCACGGCGGCGATGGTGGGCTGGCGGAGATGCCAGAGCTTCATCAGCGTGCGGGCTGGCAGGTGCTTGGCGTCCCAGTATGCGGTCGCCGGAATGTCGGGCGCGTCCTGGCCGGGCGATATGTCGTATCCGGCGGAGAATGCCCTACCCTCTCCGGTGAGTATCAGCACATTGATATCGTGGTCGTTGTGCACATCGTCGAGCGCGTCGCTGAACTCCTGGAGCAAGCCCGTGCTGAGGGCGTTCATTTTCGCGGGGCGGTTCAGCGTGAGCGTTGCAATGCGGTCGGACTTTTCCAGCTTGATGAATTCGTAAGTCATGAATCTCCGTTCCTATTTTGCTCTTCCGGCCTTGACTATCCAAATTATGTTGAGCACGATTATCGCGCCCGACGCAATCCAAAGGGCCGTGCCAAGCGCGGGGTTGAGCGCAAGCCCGATGCCAAGTCCGAGGAAGAAGACTGCAACCGCCAACACGAACAGCAGCACATGAGCCACGACTCTGAGCACGATGTTCACAGCCTTGTCCTTTCCTACAATCGCCACCGCCTCACAGAGCCGGCCATCCGCACTACGTTGCCAACGATAATCACTACACTCGCGATTAGCAGGGAGAAGCCCAAGACAGGGTTGTCCTGAGCTTCAAACTGCCCTCCCTTAATGAACATTACGAAGCCAATCAGGAGAAGAAACACGTGGGCGAAGATCTTGAGCACTTCGCTGTGTTTCGGCTAGACGCTTGGCAGGGGCGCGGTGTCGCCGGTCTCGTGCTGCCAGATGCGTATGCGGGCGGCCATGTCGATAACCCTGTCGCGTTGCGCCGGGTCATCGTACAGGTTGTTCATCTCAGCCGGGTCGTTGTTGAGGTCGAACAGTTCGCCCTGGTCTCCCGCGCAAATGTTGAGCTTCCAGCGGTCGGGCGTAATCACCGAGCGCCCGGGCAGCGTCAGCATGCGGTTGACTTCCCTGCTTCCAAGGAACCTGTCCGGCAGCTCATCGCTGGTGCCGTTCCACTGCACGAATACATCGTTGTCGTTGAGCGTCTGCTCGCCCTTGAGTACGGGCACGAGGCTCTTGCCCTGCAGCGAGTCAGGAACATCATTGCCACTCAGCTCCAATAGTGTCGGCACTAGATCGATGTGGCCTACACTGCCCTCTACTATCGTCTGCTCCTTAGAGAGCCACGGAACGCTCATCAGCAAGGGCACTCTCGATGCCTCCTCGAAGAACGACCGCTTCTCAAGCATGCCGTGGTCACCCATCATGTCGCCGTGTTCGCTGGTGAACACGACCACCGTGTTATCGGCGACGCCAGCCTTCTCAAGCGCGTCGGTTATCTTGCCCACCATGTCATCAACGAGCGTGATATTCGCCAGATAATGCGCCCTCAGCGTCCGCCAGCCCTGCTCAGTCGTTACGTCCTCACGCACGGCGGCGTAGCGCGTCATGTAGTCGTCGTCCGCGTGGCTCTTGCCCTCAAGCATGAACTGCATGAAGTAGTCGGCGCGCACGCGATTGACGCGGGACGCACCTTCCGGCAGCTTCAGGAAGGCATCGCCGACGGGAATCTCCGCAGGGTCATACATGTCCATATACGGGCCGTGATAAGGCGAGTGCGGCTCGAACGTGCTTACATACAGGATGAACGGGCGGTCTTTATTTTCTTCGATAAACTCCGCCGCGCTGTCGCCCAGGTAATGCGCCATCTGGAACTCTTTGGGCAGGTCCTGGCGGGCGTCCCCCGAAAAGACCCCGATACCGTCGGAGTGCGCGCCATCCGGCTCGTAGCCGTTCTCGACGAGATGCTCGTGATACGGCGTCATCTCGTAACGCAACTCAGGCTTCGTGTACGTCTCTCTGTGACCGTCCTCAGTCGGGTTCCAGACATCGAAGCCGTGCTGTACCTGCACGTCGTTGCCGAGGTGCCACTTGCCCATATAGCCCTTGAAGTATTCGTCGTCGATCATCTCGGCGATGACAGGGGTGTCCAGGGGCAGGTGAATCTTGTTCACGATAGGGGCCCGCGGCGTGCGGGTAAAGGCCGGTCATAATCGTGGCGCGCGCGGGGGTGCATACTGGGCTGCGCGACATAGGCGTTTCGGAACACGAAACTGCGGTTTGCGAGCGCGTTGAGGTTGGGGACATTCATGTAGTCAGCGCCGTAGCAGGCGAGCGTGTCGTAGCGCTGCTGGTCGCTCATCATGAATACTATATTGGGCCTGTCAGCCATGCTTTCACCTCTCGTTACGGGTAAGTTTATGTTAGAGATAAGTATCTGCGGGGATTTTGTTTGCGTGAGTTTATAAAGGGATGTGGGGTCTGTCAATCCCAGTTGAGCGGTGGCGTAAGGGCGGGTTGTCGCTGTTAGACTTCAATGGACATATCAGGTACGGATGCGATATGCTGTTGCAATAGGAGCAAAATTCATGATATTGACAATCGCTGAACACGCCGTTGAACTCG